GGGCGGCGCAGCAATCGAGCTAGGGCCCCGTACCGCGTCCGCCCGGCAGCTGTCGGCGAGCCCGCTCCTCGGGTGCAACGCTCGCGCAGTGGACCGCAGCCACCGTGTACGGGCGCTCGTCGCGTTCCGTGAACACCCCCAGGCGATTCAGGATAGTACAGAGGTGCTTCGGGGGCTTGCGGTGCCCTAGTGTTTGAATTTGAACGTCCGGAAGGCGGGCACCTCTCAGTCTCCATCTATCGTGCGTGCTGCGAGCAGCAGCAGGGGCATTACTTACGTTCCTGAGGGTCCTCCTCCGAGTCCGTCCGCACCTTCTCCAGATCTCCTGCAGCATCTCTTCCAAAGGGACTTACCCGGAAGGCAAACCCGCGTTCTCGAGCACACGCTCCTGAGCTTACTACTAGCCCGCCGGCACGCACACTGGCGCATGGCCTGCCCCGGAGAACCCCGCCGCTATCTGAGAACCTTCGGACTTGGATCGAACGGCGAGTTTCCCGACGCGGAATACGCTCGGGATTCTCGCCATTCAATATCAATGTTCAGAGACCGAGAGGAACCGCTGCGCAGAGGTCTTCTCGTAATGCATCATTGACTCACGCTGGCTCGCGGGAGCCCCGTCCAGTGCGCCTACGACGCCCGGTTTTCTCAGAATTCTGCTGGTGGATTGCGCCCGCCGCGATTGTGCGACGACCTAGGCTAGCCTGCCAGTGCTACTAGGACACGGCGCCTGGCCATGGGTTAACGTCAAACCCTGATGTCGAACAAGGAGTTCTTCACTCAAGCCCTCAAGGCCTCCCGCGCACGTTCTGCGCTCGCTGCCGCCGCTGCATGCTACAAGCTCCTGACTCAATTACTGGGCCGGATGCAACCCCTGCACGGCGGCGACCCCCGTCGTCCAATTCCGAGCTTCACTATGGGACATCGACGCACGGACGCCCAGGCTCTTCCCCAGACAGAGACTGGCAACCTCACAGTGTGACTCCGCGGCACAGCCCAGTTCGCGCTCAGGTGACTCATCGTGCTTACGACCTGCAGAGCGACGTCTACTCGCCCCGAGGAGAACGTTCCACCGTGCACTGTGGCCGCGAGCCAAAGCGACACGCCAAGGGTCCCGTGTGTGCCTTGTCTCAGCTGGCGCGCTCGTGTGTCGTGTCATCACACACAGGCGATTCGGCCCTGTGTCGGTAGACGATGGCGGCCTCGGTGCGTGTGCGTCTTGCAGGTCCACCGGGAGTCTCGTAGCGTACCGTACGCGCTCGCGGATCTGGAGAAACTTATCATGCACCGAGGTCACCAGCAGTCAGGCCCAACAGTCCGCGCAATTGCTGTACAGACGTGGAGGCTACGATTGCCAGTACTTGGTCCGGTGACCGAAGGCGTCAGTCTCGCTGCGTCTCCAGCCACTGGCGCGCGCTGCCTTACCGCTCATAACCTGAATGTATAGTACCGCGCGCCCTTCCCCCGCTGCGACGTGTCATCACCACATGATACAGCCCCCCCGAAACCGGTAACATTTTCATTCCAGAACGTCGGCCGCACACGCTACCCGCGCCACGCCGTGCCGCCCTCCCCCTCCCCTCCACCTTCTGTGTCCTGATCACGCGGCCAGGATCCGAGCCAGCGCTCAGATCAGGCTCCGTCTCAGCCCCCGGCTTCCATCCCGCCACCCGAGCGGCACACAACTGCGCCCGCGCTTCGCTGCGGATCTCGGGGGGAAGGTGTCGGAACAGGAACAGTACTCAGTCAGTGCTCAGGCCTCAGGTGCGCCATTTGTGCGCCACAACTTACCCATGGGGGCGTGACCAGCAAGGGACGGAAGCTCACTGTACGGTAATTCCGCGAGTGCGAGTGGGAGCCTCCGCGTCGGCGTGCGAGCGGGCTGAGCTGGGAAACGGACTGGTATTTATGTCAAGAGTGCGGATCTTGGACCGAGGAGTCGCCGCCTGAGGATGAGGACGTGCTGGGGGTCAAAGTTGAGTTGGTGGTGACCGTAGTACAGAGTTTGACGAGAACCACCCGCGGCGTGGGTACGACTGCAGCACGACCGTCCTCTTGCACAGCAGAGGCTGCGCGCACGCCCTCGGACGTCGAGCAAGACGCGTCTGCGTCCACACGGTCTCAGGTTCAAATTTGAGCGATTGGATACGGAGCTTCGCTGACCCGGGACGCCTGACACAGCGCGCTGCCAGTGAACGTTGAACGTTAGATATTGAATGCTGCGATAGAAGACGGTGCCAACCGAACGCGGTGAGCGACGATCGCGCCGTTCGCGTGTTCCTGTCTCATCGCTATCGCTGGCCGTGTTGGATCTTCGGACCACGGGACCCAGCTGGCGAGGTCGTGCCCAGTATCAGGCCCGACGGCGTGCCTGCAATAGGCCGCAGCCACTCGCTCCGTCTTACTCCCAGAATCCAATAGCTTCAAACATAGAGACAGACCTATCGGCCAAGGAGCCAGGACGACAGCCGAATGGGTTCACAGCACCACGGTACGGAGGACGTCATCGCGTCACTATCGACGGTTCGCCGCTGGCGGGCCCGGGGCACGCCAGCGGAGCGATAGGAACCTGTAAGTTACGGTGGGAAACAGAAGATAGAAGCTGGTCGCACTCTGGCAGAAGGTTGCGCTCACATACAGATGGGTGTACCTAGCGATCCTACCCGTAGACGTCAAGGAACGCGACGTCCTTCGCCCGGGGGAGGCCGTCGCAGTAGGTTCTGTCCGCCCGTACTGGACGTACTGAACTCTGTGCGGAAACACGTCATGGTGCACGCAACACCTGCCGGACAGAATGCGCACGAGGGACGCGCACCGCTGGCCGGGAGGGGATCGATGCTGCTCCGCGACATAGACGTTCTCGGACATAAGGTTTCCTTGCGCTATAGCCACCGCAGAGCACGAGGGCGCGAGCTTCGGGACGCAAGGACTGGCTTCTGGAACAGCTGTCAGAAATCAGAAGGCCTTGCCAGTAACGTCATCCCACGTAGGAAGACACGACTGACCTCGACGGATCCGCAGTGGCACTGAATGCACAGACGCGCGTCACGAACAGGAAGCTACGCGGTGTGGCTCGATAGTGCACGTAGACGTCGAACAGGCCCTATTTTCTTTCTCAAAGCCCGCGAATTCGCGTACGAGAAGAGTACGTAGGACACGCTCCGCCACAAAGACCGTGCACTTCCGGACTGCCCCGTCTCAGCACTCCCCAGAGTCAGCGATGAATGCCGACCAATTCTATGAACGAACGCAGGCTGCGAGCCTCATTGTTCCTGCAAACGAACCACGCGCGGAAGCAGATGGTCAATACAGCGGACCCCAGGCCAAGTCTTGGCATTCCCAACTTGATAATACAATTCTACGTAGAGTAACGTCAGGCATAATCTTAGCTCACTACACGGTGAAACACACCTCGCGCAGCAGAAACTACGACTTCGAACCACCGCCGCCCCCAATTCACGCACTGGCCCCGTCCGGGTCTGCCCAGCGCCCCACCCACCACCGACACATCCCTGTCCTCACCCCGAGCTGCGCCCGGTCCAAGCCTCCCCCGCGCACCTCCATCGCCCCGCGCCACACGTACCCCTCATCCTCCGCCGTGTCCGTGCCCTCCTCCAGCACGATCCCCGCATCCGCCGCGATGCGCACGAAGTGCGCGCAGTGCACGGGCAACGTGTACTTCCCCGCCGCAACGTACGCGCGGGCGGTGGGGGACCTGCGGAGGAGCGCGGTGAGCGAGGCGAGCAGCACGCCGTGCGACCCGTCGAAGTGGAGGAGGTCGGAGAGGACGACGACGTCGAAGCCGGCTGCCGGGTCCGCGCGGTCCGGGAGGAGGGATCTGGGGCGGGGACGTCGCCGTCGGGTTGAGGAGAGGAGTGCGGTGTACGTACAGTAGCGGGCTGGAATCCTGGCCCCATTCGTAGCCCCGGCAGTGCACGGCGCACCCGGGCGCGGCGCGGTACGCGTTCCTCCGTACGTTCTGTTTGAGGTTCCCGAGGATCGTGTCGTCGGGGTAGTCCGTGATCACGACCAGTTCGGGCGGCTTCGCGAGCGTGGACGCGAGGAGGGACGGCAGCGCGCACCCTGCGCCGAGCTCGACGACTGGGACATCCCGTCGTGACGTGAACCGCGCGTATTGGGTATGTGTGGGAGGAGGTGCACGTACCGGTCTTGCCTTCGAGCGGGATGAGCCCGCGCTCGATGCGCTCGGCGAGGAGGAGCGAGGGCGAGAAGAGGTGGTCCGCTAGCAGCGTGTTCGCCTGGAGATGTCCGTTTCAGAGGAGCCCTCACCGCCAGAACCTCCATCGCGCACGAACGCACCTTGCCTTCCTACGCGACCCAGTCAACACCACTAATCGCAGCCATACCTAACGCCAGTCCCAGCTCCCCATCACGCGTGGGTGCAAGGAGAGCCAAGTTCGCACGTACCTTCGGTGCGACCGTCAGGACCAGCGGCCCGTAGTGAATCTCGCCGCCGTCGTCGGTGAGGTCGACGGTGTCGTTGTACAGCGCGGAGGCGTCGCCCATGAAGTCGTCCGAGTCCATTTCTCTAGACAGATCGGATTGGAAGCGCGGTCCAAGACTATACCAGGGGGTGGAACGACGAAGAGTTGGTAAGGAGAGACGCTCAAGCGCGCGGCAGGAAGGAGGACACCGCGGGAAGTGCCGCAGCTAGGATGCGCTGGTGTCAAGTCGATCTCGATAGCGATCCTATTGAACGTTTAAACACTAGTACTCCAGCAATCGACTTTGGAGCAGGACGTGCGCGTCATGTCGGATTGGGACGAGGGCGGAGTCTCCATTGCAGACCAAACCAAAGCCAGCAAGCATCTTTTATGAGATTGAGACGCCGATTGAGTGGGCGCCTGGACTGGCCACTTTTTGTGATGAGAGTTGAAGTACATGTAGCGAGTAGGTGACTTATCACTGGCACCGCTTGACAAGATTCGCACTGGCATGTGTGTAGCAAGATATTATATAAAAAGAGACAATACCATGTTTCATGGACATGTCCGGGATTGAACCGGACCCCTCTCGCATGCTCACAAGGTGCTAAGCGAGCGTGATAACCAACTACACCACATGCCCGTGATCAAAATCTCTCTGCTGGTACTCTATACTTAGCACACTCACAGATCATTCGACCGGCCGCCGTCAATCTGAAGATTGGTGCGCTACGCTCAGCAGCCTACAGATATCTAGAAGTTGAAGAACTCCGTTCAAGACGACTTCGTGAGGGTTTACCTAGGGAAGACTTAGCAGTGTACAGGATGACCTCTGCCATAGGGCTTGCGCGACCATCGCAGCGGCCCGGGTGCCTTCAAGTTGTCGCGCCCATCTGGCAGTGAGTGCTAGTGACAGGAGTATATTCGAATTTGTGTGTTTGCGATCTTTGAATGTTTTGCGACAACTTGAACGTGCTGACGAATCACCCAAGTTGACTTTCTCCGGCGGAAAGAGGTCGTGCATGTACGTCCGCACATAGTATTTCAGTTTCATTGCTAATCCTCCCGCACAGAGGCTTCAAATTCGCTGAAATGGAGATCAGTGAGTTTTGACAGTTGACTGACGCAGCGAGGCGTTGGCTAACTCCAGCGAATAGAGGTGGTGCTAGCAGTGTTGATATCCGCGTTCACCTTCGAGTCGACCGGCAAGCCAATCTTATGGACCACCGCTGACAACATGTTCCCCACAGTCGGAAGGACGGCATCAGACCAGAGCTTCCTCTGAGAGTAGGACTTTACAAGCCGGCCTGATCGCCGGGACTAGATGTATCGCCAACGCATGTGGTACATTGTGACATTGTGTTGTTATTTTGCCGATTATTTATCAATACACGCGTCCATTGTGTCTGAGTCACGGTTTCGATGACCAGATGAACGACTTCAGGTACTCAGCAATGCCTGCTTTCTCCGTCCCCGAAATGCGCACAGCATCGGCGCCGAACGTGCCCATAGCGTCTGCCTTGGCAACGGGAGGCAGCTTCCTCGCCTCCGCGATCCTTGCTTCAGTGATCAGATAGCCTTTGGGCAGGCCCACCGTCTCCACAACGCTCTTGTGCGCCTCTGACGCAGCGATACCTTGCTCGTCGGCTAGCATAAGCTCAACGGCCGCCTTGCCACAAAGCGTGCCATTCGGCATGCCGTGTCCTTCGAAACCGCGGCTCAGCATCGTCTACGGGCTGCGAAGCCGCGTCGTTGACCACTGACCTGAGTAGGCTCCAGCAAGCCAGACACCCTTCATCCCTGGCACTTCGCCGACCCAGGGCATGTTGTCCCGCGAGTACCCCATGATCCCCGTCCACTGATGCGTTGCCTCCAGCTCTTCGAGTCCCTCCGTCTCTCCCCCCAGCTCCAAACGTACAAGGAGTGTCCGGCGGAGCCACGCCGCCATGCCCTCGTCCACCACGCCGTCGTCCCAGATGCCAACGCGGGGATAGTCCGCGCCCGCGTCGCCGCCGCCGTACATGTAGTGTCCCGCGGGGTTCGGCACGCCGTCGTACGGCCGCTGGTTCAGGTAGTCGGAGAGGTGGCCGGGCTGGTCGGGCTGCCCCTCGAGGCCGTACGAGTTCGGGAGACGCGGGGCGCCTTTCGGAGGGAGCAGGGCAGACATCTCGCCACGCACAGGCACGATCAGGTCCGCGAGGGCGGGAAGGAGGTGCGAGGTGTAGCCGTTGGTGCAGAGGAGGACGGTGCGTGCGCGAATGGGGCCCCGGGGCGTGTGCAGGACGTGCGGGTGGGTTGCGTCGCCGGACGCGATGCGCTCGACGGGCGTGTTGGTCTGGAGATTCAGCTGGCCGGCTCTTACCAACTTCTCGAGTACGAACGCGACGAGTTTGTAGGGCCAGAGACTCGCTGCGGAGTGGCACAGCGTGCATCCTACGGCCGTGCTCACACGATGCTTGGCGAGCTTAGCCTTGTCGGTGATGACCTCGACGAGCTTTCCGAGCTCTGGGTCGGCCGCTTTCAGCGCGGCGACTTTGCTCAGTTCTGCTTTGAACATGTCTTCAGAGAAGAACGCGCGGCAGCCCGACACGCTGCGCCATTCGCAGGCCACGTTGTTCTCGGAGATGTACGACTTGACTGTGTTGTAGTTCAGGATCTCGAACTTTGCGACATCGAGGCCCCGCGCGACGGGGAGAACTTGACAGTGGCCTGTGATTCATCGATCAGCGATTCACGTACATCGAACACGTAGGAGTAGAACACGGATACCTCCGTTCCGGCCTGTCGCACCCCAGCACGCCTCTCTCGCCTCGATCATGACGATGCTCCGGCCATTGTATCGCGGGTCCTCTGTCAGGAAGCGCGCAGCGGATGAGCCTGTGATGCCGCTCCCAACAATCACTACGTCGGCTTCCGAGGGCAATTCGGGCGTGGTGCGATGGCCAAGTAGAAACTCGTTCGGCTCGCTGTGCCAGAACGAACGAGTTGAGTTGGGTACCGGTATACCCGAGGGCTGATCAGGAGCTACGGATGTCATGATACTAGTACGGTCTCTTGTGTAGCTTGGAGAGTAATGAGCACGGATACCGGTACCGTTTATGCTGAGGTTGGATACTATAGGGCTCGCCTCCAACTTGAGATGTATGTCGATATGAGACAGCCTGCAGCCTGGGTGGAGATCACGGTAAGATGTACTGCGCAACGGACTTCAGCGGGAAGAAATGGCACCGTGACGAGGCCTGGCGGGCCGACTCGAACCCCTGCATGTAGCACTTACTCACCCACGCTGTAATGGGGTTCTCAAGATCTCACCTCTCGTAGTCTGGCCAACTCCGGGCCTATCATTCGCCGTAATACCAGTGCGAGCTCGAACTAGCAGGAAATCAACAGGAAACCAACAGGAAACCGCCTCGTACTGTGCCGATTACACGATCACGAGACCGCGTGCGGCAATACGCGTCCACGAACGGCCCGGGACTATGATCCCCTCTTGCAGTCCCCGCCCACTGGCGACTTGACGCATCGTCGTTGATGCGCGCTGTACGTCTTCATAATGTCACGCACCTCGTCTCTGTGCGTATCATTGTGCCGACAGTACATAGTCTGTCACTGCAAAAAGACCGTGTTTGGTGGATGAGGATGTGACGGGGGTTGTGACTAGAGGGTGGCGCAGTGGCACGGCGACGTCATAGTATACATCGCGCCATGACCGTATTCGGCTCAGCAGGCGACTGTTCGTCTTCCTCCTCCTTGTCTCTCCTCTACCAACAGCAATCATGGCGGAACAAGACCGTAAGTTGTTCTTTCGAGTCGCTTTTGATGTTCTTTCGTAGCACGACAATATCTGACCCCGAGTCCAGGCTACAATGCACACTTCAGCACCCAGCGCGACAACCCGTTGAGCATCGCAACGACCGTCGGCATCTTCAAAAGCACCATCTTCCCCTCGTTTGCCTTCCACACCGGCCTCTCCCTCGTCACCTACGGCGTCTCCCGGTACACCGACCGCGCAGACGGCAAGGACTGCCTCTGGCCCGCGAGCCAGCTCGCCAACGCATGGTGGAGTGCCCTGGGCACGCGCGTCGTCTACGACGGCCTCTCCCTGCCCGACGCCTGGGCTCAGCTCACGTACTCCGAGCGCCTGCTCCTCACCGGCGTGACCACCTGGGGCATCCGCCTCCTCTACCGCATCGCGTCGCGTGCGGTTAGGCGGGGCGCAGACGACCCGCGCTACGCCGAGGACAAGCGCGACCCCGGCTTTTGGAGCAAGGCTTTCCTCACGCAGTTCCTGCCTGAGGCTGCCGTGCAGACCCTCATCACGCTCCCGTTCACGCTCCCGTTCCGCGCTGGCCTTGCGAGGGCGCCGCTGCCAACGTACGCGAAGCTCGCGCATGCAGCGGCGGTGTTCCTCTTCTCGTCTGGGTACGCGTTGGAGGTACTGGCCGACACGCAGCTCGAGACGCACAAGCAGCGCACGGGCGACATCGTCCTGAACCGCGAGGGCGTATGGAGCATCGTCCGGCACCCCAAGTGAGTCTCTTCATCCTCCGTGTATCCGCTCCCGCTAACATCCCTGCAACTCGAAGCTACCTCGGCGACGCGCTCGTGCACTTCTCCTTCCCCGTCCTCCTGTACAGCGCCGGCCTCCTGCACCCACTCGCGCTCCTCGGCCCGCTCGCGAACTATGTTTACTTGCGCGTGCTCGGCGGCGACCGCGAGACGGAGCGGTTCCAGGAGGAGGCGTACAAGGCGGACCCGCTCAAGTACGAGCAGTTCCGGCATTTCCGTCGCGAGAAGAACAGCTTTTGGCCCGGCCTGAAGGAGCTTGCGAATGGGTGGACGTGGGCGATCGTGGCGGTCGGCCTGGGCGGCGTCGCTGTGGAGAAGGGGATGCGCACGTGGTTGTGAGAGGGAGATGGAATTGTTGACTGGTAACGAATAAAGGACTCGGAGAGTATCAACTGTAGTACTGTAATAACATTGTGAATGTGATTGGGCGTGACGCCCTCGGCTGCATACCATACCTCAATGTATGCGCTATAACCTGTCTTTCTCTGCATCCTCTGGCCGGTTCCACGGCATCTCAACCACAATGTGGTCGTAGGTCGTCGTACTAGGTCGTCGTACTAGGTCGTCGTACGCCTCCTTCAGGCACGTACTACCAACACGCGTTCACGTGATCAGGAACTGTAGCAGGAGCCTGTGCGGAGGGACGTACCCCGCCATTGTATTCCGGATCTTCGAGTATCATCCCAACCCAGAGCCAACGCTGTATGGATGTGCCAAAGCTTCGCCGAAGAGGTCTCGCCTGAGCGAAGTTGGTGACTCAGGCTTGAACGATTGAACATCGGGCCTGCGCCTGTGCAGCGTGCAACGTTCAATAGTCAATGGTCGAGTGAGCCGGGACTTGGGAGCGCGACAGACGCGATGACATTCATTCTCGCGTAGCCGCAGGGCCTCGAATGAGCTCCCCACGGCGTCTGTGTTTTCTACGTCAATGATCGGATAGCCACTGCATACTACTTATCCTTGACCGCCTCCTCCAGCCAGGTCCACAGCTTCTCCCCTAAAGCATCGTCGTATGCCTCCTTCCTGCACTCCCCAACGCGTGCCCATGGGATCAAGAACTGAATGATGCGAGGA